TGACCAGAATGAACCTGTTTCAAATACTGTTTGATATGGTAAGATGTTTCGCTCTGCTGCCAAGTTTCTAGCTTGTAAAACAAGTGCTACCCAAGTGTTTGTTCATGTCAGTACTAGTCCAAACGTCATCTCATTCCAGCCTGCCCCAGTATAACTCGATCAGTCTGTGTATCCTCCTCCCTGAGTGCATTACCGGCCCTCTCGCGCTACTTTACTTCGGCCAGCCACTGCCTGCCCCTCTCTATCTCATTTTCAATCTCTCTCCCCCTCCCCCAAAGCATCAGACGGAGGCCATCCTCTGTGGCATTTAGTGCATTCACCCAGATCTTCAAAAGACCCCTTCCCTCCCACCCTTTTCACATCTAATTCACTGAAAAACAAACCAGGGTGTTTATTAAACTACCAGAGCAGTGATTGTATCTCATTATGCCTGCTCTTGTTTTTCTGAATGTAGCAGACATTCATTTGTCCACTTTCATTATGCCTCTTAAAACATGTTCACCCGTCCTTCCTGTCCCTCCTGGCTTATCTGGTGGCCTTTTTTCTTTTTCCTTTTTCCTAGGTATTGACTTCAAAGTGAAGACCATTGAGGTTGAGGGAAAGAAAGTCAAACTTCAAGTCTGGTAAAAATAACACACACACACACACACACAAACATATATATATATATATACACACACATTTAATAATTTTTATAATTTATATTTAATTTCAGTTAAAATGTGTTTTAAGTAATGATTTTTTATATAATTTTACTTTTAGTATTAGTTGACTATAAACTTTCCCTAAATATATATTTATATATTTTTTATTATTATTATTATTTATTTTTTTTAAGCTATGAGTACTCTTTGTTTGTTAAATCAGATAAGTTAAACTTATGCTTTATTAAAGTATTCAGTTAAAATTCTTTACATATGTACAGAGTGTCTGCAAATACAATGGCAGTGTTGTGTACACAAAAAACGTCTTCGGTGTCTTTTTCTGTTTGACAGTTGACTGTTAAAACTGTAAGCTCAGTGTAAATGTGCCAAAGGTGGAGTCCGGTTGACTTTAGCTCAGGCTTCCTACAGACCTTCTGACAATTCAATAAAGTAATTTATGTGGAGGTGATGACAGCCTGAAGTTCAAAGTCCAGCTGCTATAAAAGATGTATATTAAACTATTTTTTTCTGACAAGCTTTCTAAGCGCTAAAATGTCTGATGTGTGTAACTGGTTTTATTTGCTAGGGACACAGCAGGACAGGAGAGGTTTAAGACCATCACTACTGCATACTACAGAGGGGCCATGGTGAGACGAGAAATATGTTAATGCATAATAATCTTTTTGTTCCTATAGCTTGAATATCTATAAACTTACTTATATGGTTATTGTGAAACCCAGATTATTTCAACAGTTATTGGAGAATGGCCAATCATACGCATTTTGTTAAAGGGGTCATATGATGCGATTTCACGTTTCTTTCTCTTTGGAGTGTTACAAGCTGATTGTGCATAGATAAGATCCCTGAAGTTGCAAAGACTAAAGTCTCAAAACTCAAAAAAAAAGAATAAAGATATTCTTTATCAAAGTTAAGACTCTGCCACACCCCCCTAAAACGGCTCGTTCTAACACGCCCCCACATATCTACCTCACTATGTGGAAATATTTGCATAATGCAGCCCAAATGTTCACGCAAAGAAAGAAGGCGTGGTTTCAGTAACCGCAGTTAGTGTTGAAGCAGCATGTCAGGGAGACGCTGTGTGTTTCTAGGCGAAAGCAAAAGCACTTTATTTGGCCTTCCGAAAGTAGATGCATTTAGGAATCTTTAAGATTACTTACAACAGAACAGCAATGCATTTTATGGACGACCGTTTCGTGAACCTAGGAGAGGAGGTCATTCTGACTTTGCTATGACAAT